CCAGGTTCATAGATTTTCCAGAGACAAGCTATTATGGAAGTGGATGCCACTCTGCTTCCAAGAAGTATATTTAAAAAATCCAAAAGAAAGTTGAAAATGCTTATGTCTGAGGCTTAGTATTGAGGGAGTGAACAAGTTTGGCTGATGTTTATTTTAAACATGCATTTGATTTTGCTTGCAGAAACTGAGAAGGACCTGAAGCATCTGCTGCAGAAAGTCAAAGACTGCAATATAGATCGAAAGTCAATATCAAGAAAACAAAGATTCTCACCACTGAGCCAACTGGCAGCACCATGATAGATGAAGAAGAGATTGAGGAGGTTGTTAACATTTCAGTTTGCTTGGCTCCACAATCAACACTCTTGACACCAGCAGTCAAGAAATCAAAAGATTAATTGCTCTGGAGAAGGCTGCTGCCAGGGACCTCTCAAAAGTGCTGCAGAGCAAAGATTTCATTCTGGAGACTAAGGTACATCTGATTTACGCCATGGTCTTTACAATTATTTGCTATGTATTAGAGAGTTGGACAATGACCAAAGATTATAGAAGAAGAATTGATGCCTTTTGAGTTGTGGTGCTGGAGAAGAGTATTGAACATACCATGGACTGTCTAGTGAACTAGAATGTTTATAGTAGAGAGAGAGTAAAGCCAGGCTGCTCTTTTGAGGCAAGGATTTGAAGCTCCATCTCACATACTTTGGGCACATGATCAGGACAGACCCTAAAGAAGGACATCATGCTTGGAAGGATGGAGGGACAGTGCAGGAGAGGAAAACTCCAGATGAGATGGATTGATACAGTAACTGGGCTAACAGGACAGGTGTGTCAGAGACAGTGAGACTGGGTCAGGACAGTGCAGAGTTCAGACCTATTGTACACAGGGTCTCTAAGAGTCACAAGCAAATTGATGGCACATAACAACAATAACAACTTGATCTGAAGGAGTCCTGTTGGCTGAATGCTTAATTGCTTAGCTACTGACAAAAATGTTCGCATCTACCAGCTACTCTGCAGAAGAAAAGTCTCTAAAGATTTCAGCTTGGAAACCTTATGAGGCAGTTTTACTGTGATGGCAATGGGTTTGGGGTAGCCTTCTCTGGCTTATTTGCATATTTAAAAATTTTATAAAACTTTAAATTGAAAAAAAAAACACTATGCACACTCTTTGACCTAGCAACTCTACTTTCTGAAAAATATTGGTGTGTGTGTGCAGGGATATTCTAGTGGCTTAATGGGTAGAGAGTTGCACTGTCAATCCAAAGGTGAGCAGTTCAAATCCACCACAGAAAGATGGACAAAATGCCTCTCATGTGATTTATGACCTTTGCAAACTCACTGGAGAGTTAGTTATGAATTGGTTCTGGCAAACTCAATGAGAATGTGTTTGAGGGCTTTTATTTTTTAAGTACAAAGATTGCCCTGCAAGGATGTTTATGTCAGGTCATCTATAATAAAAAAAAAATGGAAAAGCAATCTAAATACTCAACAAATGGTGATTATATATCAAAAAAAGGTTATTGAATAGTATGTAAGACAGACTATTATTCGGCTGTTAAAATGAATATTTTCACATTAAAAATTCCTATAGAAGAAATAATAAGAGTATATATCAATGACTTATTATTGAAGGAACCAAGAGGATGATAAGGTCTTTCAAAGAGAAAGATGAGAAGCTGACATATGATTATTGACCAGTTGAAAAAAAGAATGCTGGAATAAGACTAGAAAGTTAAATAGAAAACCCCAAAACAACAAAACTTAGAATAACAAATCACAGAAAGTCGAAGTAGCAGCATTTGCCCAACAACAAAGTCCTGAAGGTGGGAAAAGGTATGAAAGAAGGATTAACGGGAAAAGGAATTACAAAGTGAAAGAGAAAAGTTCTGTTAAAATTGTGGGTATTGTAATAAAGTTCTGTTGACATTGGGGGTATTGTAATAAAGTTCTGTTAACATTGAGAGTATTGTAATTAATGTGTTTTTTTATTATTATAACTGGAGCTCTGGTGGCTTCTTCTTATTGTGTGCTGTCCAGTCGGAAGTGACCCATAGTTGACTCTCTAGTGGGTTTTCAGAGGCTGTAAATCTCATGGGAGGTGATTGTCCATCCTTCTCCCATGGAGCAGCTGGTGGGTTGGAACCACATAACTTTGGGACTGCAGTGCAGTTTCTTACCACTTGACCCGAAGAGCTCCTCCACATAATGAATGGTACAGAATGAAATGTATATGAATAGTTGAGTGTAAAATCTGTTCATGTTGCAAACTTGCATTCAAATCACAATAAAAACATACCAAAAATGCTAATGTCCTATTAGACCTTAAAACCAGAAACTTGGAGGTTATCTTTTTTTTTGACAGAACTCATTTGCATCTACTTGCCAGAAAAGTCGTTGTTGTTATGTGCCGTCGAGTCGTTTGCGACTCATAGCGACCCTATGTACAACAGCCCTAAACTGTGCTCTATCCCGTGCCAATCTCATTGCCTCTGACACACCCATCCCGATTACCCCAGTCACTGAATCAATCCACCTCATAGAGGGTCTTCCCTTCCTGTGCTGTCCCTCCACTCTACCCAGCATGATGTCCCTCTCCAAAGACCTGTCTCTCCTTACAACATGTCCAAAGTACGTCAGGCAAAGCTCCAGAATCCTTGCCTCCAAGGAGCAGCCTGGTTTAACCCTACTTTTTTATAAGCTCACATCTAGATAGAGTCGGAGCCCTGTTGTTGTTGGGTGCCGTAAAGTCCACAATGACACATAGCAACCCTCTGAACAACAGATCTGAACTGTGCCCTATCCTGTGCCATTCTTATGATGTCTATCATTAGATGAGAGCCTTACTCTCTATTAAACATGAACATTTATTTATATGCCTTTGGGTTGACTTTCAATTTATAACAAAAAGAGTGAAACTGCCCCATAAGATTTCAGGCACAGAAGGTCAGGTCTTCTCCCTTAGGTCCACTAGGCGGATTCCAATCTCCAACACTTAATGTTGCTCTAAGTTGACCATCAGGCCAGCCCAGAATCATGATGACTTCCTGAACAATGGAACAAAATGGTGCCCGGTCCTGTGGCATCTCAGGATCACCTGTGGATCAGATTGTTAATCCACAGAGCTGCTTTTTGGAACTAGCTTGCTAGCCATTACTTTCTTAGTTGTGTCAGCCTAGAATCCTCACTGGGACCTGTCCAGCAACACAGTAATACACAAGCCTCCATTGGCAGACAGGTAGTGACTGGACACAAAGGTTCTTGGCTGGTAACAAATTTTCAGGTGACTGATAAAGCTCTGGTGACTTAGTCCATAGGGAGTTGAGCTGCCAATGCAAAGGTTGATGAACCTCTCTGGCAATTCAAATCCAGCAGCTCCTAAGAAAAGGACTGGCAATTCCCTCTCATGTGATTTACAGCCTCAGAGGCCCAATGGAGAGTCAGTTATGAGTCAATTCCAACTTGATGACAGTGAGTGGGTTTTCTTTTTTTAGGTAATATTCTAGTACAACTTTGAAAAGGCATGCAGGAATGTTTTTGCTTTGTTTACAAGGTCTGGATAATTCTTCAAAGAATCCTCCTGTAGACCACAAAGCCCTTGAGGGATTGTTTTTTTTGTTAAGTGCCACTGTGGGTACAACTCATAGTTGTATGAACAAGCCTACCCTATTCTGTGCCATTGTCATCTCTGACACACTTGAACGAGCCATTTCTGCAGTCACTGTCAATCCTTCTGGTTGAAGGTCTTCCTCTCTTGCGCCAGTCCTTCACCTTTTCAAGCTTGATGTCCCTCTCCAAGGAAAGTCTCTCCTAGCAACACACCTGAAATGTGTGAGATGGAGCTTTATAATTTTTGCCTCCAAAGCATTCTGGCTGTATTTTCTCCAAACCATATCTGTCTGTTCATTTGGCTGTAAGGGACTCTGTCTAATTTTATTCCTCATGGCTAGGCCCAGACGCAGGACTATGCAGATGACACAACCTTGGTTACTGAAAGGTCAGGAGGACTTGAAGCACTTGCTGTAGAAGGTAGTCTTCAAAATGGAATGAAGCTCAACTTCAAGAGAACAAAGATTGTCATCACTAGGCAAATGACAGCACCATGACAGATGGAGAAGAGACAGAGATTGTTAACAATTACAGCTTGCTCAGACATAATCAACGTTCTGGGCACCAACTGTCAGGAAATAAAAGAGTAATTGCACCGGGAAAATTTGCTATCAGGGACCTCTCCAAAGTACTGAAGAGCAATGATGTCAATCTAGAAACTAAGGTGTGCCTGATCCAGGCCATGGTCTTTACAATCACTTGCATTGGAGAACTGAACAATGACTAAGAATGACAGAAAAAGAACTGATGCCTTTGAGTTGTGGTGTTGGAGAAGAGTCTTGAACGTACCATGAACTGCCAAGAAAACAAATAGGTCTGTTTTGGAGAGGGTGAAACCAAGTCTGTCCTTGGAGGCTAGGATTTTGAAGCTCCGTCTCACATACTTTGGGCACGTGACCAGGAGGGACTGGTCCTTGGAGAAGCACATCATGCTTGGGAGAGTGGAAGGATAGCCTAGGAGAGGAAGACCCCAGATGAGATGCATTGATACAGTAACTGGGGCAATGGGGGTAGGTGTGTCAGAGTCAGTGAAACTGGTTCAGGACAGGGCAGGCTTCAGAGCTGTTGTATAAGGAGTAGCCATGAGTTGCAGGCAACTTGATGGCATACAACACCAACAGGCCCTGGAGTGCTTTTGAATGAATGAGGTATTGGTAAGACCTATCCGACCTGGCTGCTATGATGATACAGCGAGATAATGTTTGCAAACTGCATGTCAATGAGCCTGACACATACTGTGTGTTTAAGGCATAGGAGTAGCTAATGGTATTGTTATGCGGCAGCTGATGCAGGCTGATGACTCAGTGGAGTGGGAGGGCAGGGCTACTATCATGGAGGTCACCCATCTAGAAGGGAGATGAAGCAGGATTCTGGGGCTGAGGTACTTGTAAGCCTTAATGGGGGCACTAATGTCTTTTCTTAGGAGTATCCTTGAGATCCTTGCTTCTTCAGGCAGCATTGGAACAGCGGTGGCTTGGTTGATCACCTCTAAGCCAATCTTGTTTGGATTCTTATTCCTTCTATTGTTGCTTAGTAACTGGTTGGTCAAGTATGAATTCAAATTCACCTCTCCAGAATCCAAGCAGGTGAGTGTCAGCTAAGGTTTATGGGATGTTTACGGCTAAAGTGAGTGATGGGGAGGTAAAGGAAGTGTTGGGATAATGGGACTGAGGAACCTTGACTCTGCAGCTTTCTCTTGGGTGATTGTGAGGCCTTCATAAGACTTCAATTGCCTGAGGTGTAAAGTAGGGACCATCCCAGAGACTCCTACTTCATGCTTTATGTCAGTGCTCATAATAACTTTGAAAATGGAAAGAACTAAAATGGATGAACTAGAGTAACATGTATGACTAGACACATTTCTCCAGTACAGCAATGAAAATAGCAGAAATGTACATAAGACAACCATGTTGTTTGTTGTTGCGTACTGTGGAGTCAGAACCAACCCACAGCTGACCCCCTAGTGGATTTTCAGAGGCTGGTTAATCACAAGGGAGGAAATTGCCCATCCTTCTCCCTTGGAGCAGCTGGTGGCCTCAAACCACATGCCTTTGGGACTGCAGCACTTGCCACTAGGCCAGCAGAGCTGCTTCATACAAAGGCAAAAAAGGCATTTGTCTCAAACCAAAGCTTAGAAGGCAGGAAAGGTGTGTGTGTGTGTGTGGAGAATGGACAAAGGGTTAACAGGGCAACCAGGAAGAGAGAAGGAAGAGTGTTATACTGAGGGGATTGCAATCAATGCCACAAAACAATGTATACATTATTGAACAGTTAACTAATGTACTCTGTAAACTTTCATCCAGACCACAGTGTTGTAGTTAAGTGCCCTGGGGCAGAATTGACTCATAGCTGACTCTCCAGCAGGTTTTCAGAGGTTGTAAATCACATGGGAGGAGATTACTATCTTTCTTCCTTGGAGCAGTTGGTAGCTTGGAACCGCCTGCCTTTGTGTTGGCAGCCCAACTCCTTCCCCACTAAGCCATCAGAGACCCTTCCAAGCTGCAACAGAAATTTGGTTTTTATTAAAAAAAAAAAAAAAGTTGAGGTTTTGGGTTTTTTTCTAAAAAAAAAAAGAGTACAAAGATTATGACATCTATCATATAAAGTTTAAAACCATACAAAGCACAGATGCATGTGTGTAAGGTTAGTATTTTAAGGCAGGTTTCCCCAGCTTTGGCACCATTGACATTGTGTCCTGGAGATCTTGTTGTTGGAGATTGTTCTTTGTATTGCTGGAGGTTTTGCAGTGTCCCTGACCTCCATCCACTAGACAGTAGCACGTGCCAGCTGTCCCAACCAAAAATGTCTCCAGACATCATCAAATGCCCACCAGGGGGCAAAATAGCCTCCCATTGAAAAACACTGGTAGAAATAGAAGCCCATGGTGAAAATAAGACCAAATTTAGGATTTCAGTTCAGGAGATGAGGTTTAGAGAGGGCAGGGAACAATGGGAGAACGCCATGGAGGGCTTCAGTTGTATCTGTGATGTTTTATTTTCCCAGGGTTGTGAGAACATAGGTATTGGCTGTAACAGTCTTTTTTTTCATGTATGAAGTTTTTCATTTTAGAACGTTTTTAAAGAGCTTTTAGCCAGGTATGAAAAGAAAAAAAGAAAACACACCCCTAAGTATTATTATTAACCAATGAAGGGTCAAATGAAGATTAACAAGACAAGAGCATGCCAACCTTGACTTAGTTTGAGAATGTACTGGGCCTGATAAAACCCTCAGCGAGGCTCAGTGGAAATGCTACAGGCTTTGGAAAGTGATACCGTGTGGCCAGGGGCTTTATGGCTCTCCACCCTTTAGAACTGTTGCTTTCAAGTTGATTTGAACTCATGGGATGTGCCTTTGAGTAGAACTGTAATCCACTGGGTTGGCAGTGAGTTACAGCAAAGAAAACCGTACAGGGCTGAGTGATACTCAGTCACCTGGGATGACTATGAGTCCAAATCAGCTCATCAGCATTGCACAACAACAAGTCACGTAACAGGCCATTGGATGACACAAATGCTTTGCACTTGACTACCAACCTAAAAAAAGTAAGAGAGAGAGAGAGAAAGACCCTCAATGAGCTTGACTGGCACAGTGACTGCCATTCGAGTGTGTCAGACATGGTTCGGAGCTGTTGTTCATAGGGTTGCTATGAGCCATACCCAACTCGACAGCACCTAAAAACAACTTACCCCAAAGGGTAGCAGTTTGAAACCTACCCAGCAGCAGCAGCAACAACAGCACGGAAGAAAGCCCTGGCTTTCTGCTCCTGTTAAGATTCCCACCCAGAGAATCCTGTGAAGCAGCTCTACTTTCTGACACATGGCAGCACCAGGAGGTGGGATCCACTAGATGCCAAGCTTAGGGTTTTGGTCTTTAATCTTATGCCAATGTCACTGGGTATTTCTGAATCACCGAAAGCTCTTCGGTTCATCCAGCACAAATTGTCACTGCAATGGGACCTCACTGCTGAGGAGGAAGTCACTTCACTCATTTCTCTGTGAGTCACACACCACTCACTTGGAGACCTGTGAGCTTTTTGGGCCTCAGCCTGTTAGATCTCTGAGTCTGTGATTTCTGAAGTGCTCTCTCCTTCCCAGGCTCCAACCCCCATCCACAAAAGGCAGCAAAGATGCTCACCTTCCAGAGTGGTTGTGAGAATCGAGTAAAGTAACATTTCTAAATCTCCTAGCTTGGAGCAGGTGTTCAAAACCTGAGAGACAGATACCGTGATTAACCAATCTTTCCTTTGTGTTGTTTTTGTTTGTTTGTTTTGTGATGAGGAGCTTAGCAAGAGACAGAGAAAATGATGACTTTTCAAGCTTGCCGCAACTTCGTCTTCAGAAATACGAAAGACTTGGAGAAAATGCACGCCTGCTTTGCTCTCCAGGACAAGCTCCTCGAGCGGCTTATGATCACTGAAATGAAGCTAAAGGTCTTAGAAAGCCAGATGTTCATCATATGGAATAAAATTAATCACTCCCGGAGGCCAGGCAAGAGGTGGACTTTCTCCACGAGGAAGCACAGAACGAAGAGGCAAGAGTCGCCGTTCTCCATGCTCTCTGATGGCAGCACCAACTACCCCTCCTAACCTGGTTCCGGAGGCCGAGGTGGGCTGGGTCTCTTGATGTTACCTTGACTCAGTAAAATCCAGTCACACTGTGGAATTCACGTAGTAAAGGGGAGGCACCAAGGGATCAGGAGGAATCAGAGGCTGGAAGGCCACTTCGGGAGGAGAAAAGTGTACATGGGTAGTCAGGCCCTTTCCACCCAGTACAATCCGACAGGGGCTGGATATTTTCTTGACCCTTTAATTATATGATAACTTAGGGAGAATAACACCACTGACCTCATAGAGTTGTGATGATTAGTTGAGTGAATGAATGTACCCCTTTTAGATCTTTGCTCAGATAACACTTTCTTAGTGAGAATTCCCTTGACTCACCGCTTAAAATCACAACCTTCACTTGGGTGTCAGACATCTACTTGCCCCTCCAGATCCACACTCTCCACCTTCCCCTGCTTTTTCTTCCCAGGGTCGACCTGTACGGACACATTCTCTTGCCCTGTGACTTCCAGCTGGGTTTGGCCAATGGAGATTCTTAGCAGAATGTCAGAGGAAAGGGAACATGTGGGTACTTACTCCCCCAGCGCCCTCCTGAGAGGCCACTGCAAACTGGTTTGGGGCCAACTGGATCTATTCACCAATGATTTTTCCTCTCAGGGAAATCCTCTCCCCACTACTTTCTCCTTACAGGTTCTCTTTGGGTTTAGAAGTGGTAACACCACCAATTTCCAGCCCCAAAGATATCATACTATTCTGTGGTTTCTCTATACACAGACCTCACGTTTGTAAATAGTTCCTTTCATACAGCTTTGTGGCCCATTGTTAATGATCTTGCCATATGGCCAGGCCACGGAACCACCCAGAACTAGACCATTTGGAAAATACCATATGGTGATGATCATCTGCCCCATGGACAGCCACAAACTGAATTGGCCCATGTGAAGGCTCTCTTAAGGCACTGCATCTTGATGGCATCAGCTAGCATATAAACACTGACCAACACTACCGGACTATTAGTTCCCTAGGGCTGCTGGAACAAAGTACCACAAACTGAGTGGCTTTTAAGAACAGAAATGTATTGTCTTGTAGTTCTGAAGGAGATATA